CACAATGCTGCCTCGCTCGCTCGCTCTCTTTTTGCCTTGCTTACAAAAGATTAATTATTTACGAGGAAAAAATTGCACCCAACTGCAAAAGGGCTAATTACGGTTGCGCTCGACTGCACTTGCGAGTAAACTAGGTTAAGTTGCAGAAAAAGAACAAACAAATAAATAAAACAGTGGTCTGGCTGCGGGCTGATAAAACCTGCACAGTCGAGAGTTTCTTATTAGGTTTTTGTAGAGCAAAAAGGGACGTGCTTCAATACAGTTCACCTCATCTTCGAAAGGAGAGTATCCGAGTTATCGGCCCTTGCGATTTAAATTATGAATTTTAATGCTACGTGGTCAAAACGAAAATTGAAAATTGATCATTAAATGGAAAAAAATTAATAAATTAAGGTTTTTTAACACAAGATTACATAATATTGTGCTATATTTCCTGTAATTAATATTACAGATTTATTTGTGTGTATAAGTTGTTCGTGTTATAACACAATTTTTTATTTAAATATTCAATTAGAGTTGGAAGCTCTCATGCACTTCCCTTTTAATTGCATGCATGCTCTATAAATAGAACTGGTCTCTGATTTCATTACCGAGTTGAGCTCTGCATAAAGTGCATTCAAAAGCGCATTATTTCAAGAGAAGTTTGGCCTCCTTCTTCTTGTTTTTTTCTGCTTCTTTGCATGCAAAAGAACCAAGGTGACTCTCAAGTGAAGATTTCATTTTATTTTTATGGCAGCAAGAAATTAGAATCGGAGTATGCAAAGCACGTCTTCTGACGAGACAGAAAAAAGCAATCATCTTTCAGAGCCGTATTAAATTTTATGTGAATAAAATGTCGCAAACGAGACAATCGCCGCGCATTTGTATCAACGGAATCAATACACTTAAAATGAGAGAAAGAGAGCGATGCAATTAAGAGGCGGCGAGCCCATCTGATTAAAACCCTTGAAGCAGAAACTTTTGAGATTGCATGCACTCGTCATTAAGCTGTGTAAGAGAGGGAAAGATGAAGTCATCATTCCGCCCTCTTTAATAAGCAACCCTCTGCGAGAGCGCGAGCCTCAAGTGGGTGACTTTTGTCGCAATTGTTGAACAATGTATCAAGGAGAAAAAATCCGGTCACGGGGGTGGGGGTGGAGGATGTCTTGGAAAAAAGAAATGCCCTCAAAAGTGCTTCAACTTTTCTCATATTCTGCAGAAGTGCAGCCTGAATGTGACTCTTCTTGACCTCATGAACTAATGTACTCGAGAAAGAGAGAGAGGAGAGATGCCTGGTTGGGTATGGCAAGGTATGCATATTGTTCGCGGCTACATTTTCCATCTCAATGGAAGGGTAAATTAGATCCAAATGGCTGCCACTTTTCTACCATATTCCATCCATTTTTCCAACAGTCGTTACTCAAAACTCCTCCTACTCAACAATCAGGCCGGAAAACAACCAGCCGAGCCTTATTTGAATATCAAAGGAAGGTGTGTTAAATTTTTTTTTGTTCCTACAGCAGCTAGAAAATTGGATCGTAACAAAGGGATGTTAAATTTTCAGTCAAATAGTCGGTAATTAGAATTTTATGAACAAGATGTTTTTAATTAGCTAGAATCAGGATTGTTTTGAAAAAAAAATTGTCCTTCTTTGGTCAAATATTTTCTTTCTGTCCGTCATTTTTTTAAAGTTATAAGTACTCAATTTTTCGCCAGGTATCTTGGTCTAGTTATAAGTCAGAAAAAATGAAAGAAATAAAATGCAAATCGCACATTTTTTTGATTTAATTGCAATCAATTAATAAATTTAAAAATAAAGCAAAATTTTTATAGTTTTTGTCCAAAAAATTTAAGTGAAAATAAATTTAACTGGGGATTATTGATCAAGAAAAAACATTTATTTAGGTTAAATGAGCTCCAGTTGCACACAATTAGAAAAATATATAAATTATCCACATTTTTGCTATTTTTGCGTTTTTTTTATCAATGGTAAAATTAAAAAAAAAAGTTAGTTCACTCTTTTTATGAGCCAACTTTGAACTGCTCTTTCAATTAACGTTTAAAACGTTGCAAATCGCTCTAAAAATTCAAAACTTTATTTCCCCGTCCTTAAAAATTACTAACGTGTTTTAATGTGCAACGTGACTGTCAGGATATCGGAAAGAAGTATACACTTGGCAGTCGTCGGCGGCTTTCGTTTTTTATTTCTTCCTCTTCCACTGCCAGGATGAGAATCATAAGCCCGCGCGACAAAGCTTCCTGATCTCTCTCTTTCTCCGGCGGCAAATTGATCTCCTATGAAGCACGATATTAAATAAAATTGCCTGCAGCTTCTTTCGTCTTCCGCTCGTCGAGATTTATTAAATTGATCTGGAATGAGCACCGCGCGCCTTTGTAAAATAAATAAATACATACACGACTTTCAAGTTGGCGTTCTCAGAGACGGCTTTGAGCTTGCATGGGTGTTTAGTGTTTGCTCTTTTGAGCATTATATCTCTTGACGAGCATCAAGATTGCGAGCGGCCAACGAGCGAGTGAGTGCTGGATGTAGTGTGCCCGCTTGTGTAATGTTTCATTATATTGCGAAGGGCTGTTGCCTTCATTCGGCGTAAGCTTACACTCTTCGCAGTTCAGTTTTTGTTGCTTTCTAGAAAGTTTACAATACAATTTAACACGCATCATGATTTTAAGCGAATTTTTTTAACCATTGAATAACATTATTTTTACAAGGATCATACAATTTATTAAAAAAATAAAATATTATTTATAATTTTTAATCATGCATAATTTATCTTAGTGCAAACAATATTTTTCAATGAGTTAATTTGGAAAAAAATTTAAATTTTTAAACAAGCAATAATAATAAATTGTAAAAAAGTTATCTCAAGAAATACATTTAGCAAGGAGTGTCCAATATTTTTAACTCCATCATTCCCGTCATTCAACAACACTCTTATTTTCCTCTTAAATTATTTTTTTGAGTATATGTGATTTATATTTAAAACACAGAGGCGTTGACAGACCAAAGATAAAGTTAACAATAATTGCATTTAAAGAAAAATTAAGCACACAGAAAAGTTTATATTATTTTTTTAAACTTGCATTTATAAAGATTAATTATACTAAGTTTCTTGCAAACATATTAGCATACAATTTGTTTGATATTATTTAAATTATATTAATCAAATAATCAACTTAAAAATGACAATAAAAAAATTAAGAAGCTTAAATAAAAACTTTAAGTTTTTTTAATTAAAATATGAATTTAATTTTTATTGTTATTGGTGATCAAATCTAAATGGATTTTTTTAGCAATTTTTTTTGCATAAAAATATTTATCCAATTTTCTCTTCTTCGTAAAGCCAGCATCTGCCGTTATAATTCAAAAAGCAAGGGTCCGCTCAAGTGGAGAGGAGTACGTGTGGGCCTAGAACATGAATAAATTCATGCGCGAGAGAGAAACGAGGCGACTTTAATCTCTCGGGCAGGACGTCCCGCCGATTAGAGATACGCGAAATTCGTCGCGTATTCTCTGCACGCCGGCAGGTCTGTGTAGGTGCACGAGAGTGCGGCCATATTGATTTTCGGCAAACGTGGGGAATTCCACTGAGAGGAGACGCATCCTTTTAGACAAATAATAGTATATACAGCTCTCGTTAAAAGCACTTTGGGCAGGCATTTTTTTTCAGACTGCCAAAAGTCCCGGGAGGGTAGTTTTCCTGCTACTATGTAGCATATCTACTTCCAGCTAATTAAAAGATCCACCCGTTTTATGTCTCCGGGAAATTGAGTCTTTGCCTTTAATGGCGCCGGCAAATTGAATAGCGGCGCCGTGATTGACGCGTGTTGTTTTCGTTGTTTAGCCAGGCGAAAACACACAAATTCCTCTCTTGCTACAATTTAAAGCGAAACCAGATAAAATTCCGCAGCTTTTAAAACTCGTAAAAACGCACACGCCACGGGAAAAGCTGTTTTTGTGTCGCAGAGCCGCCGCGATATCTTCTTTCTGAAATATGCCATGCAAAACATAACAAGCGACGCCGAGTTTTCCACAAATGACTTTAGTGATAGCGCTGCTCTCTCGCGACTGAAAAAAAATCGTAAACAAGTCGGCGACGTGTGTGTGTAAAACGTGTTCTACTTTTTGGTATATGCATAAAGGATTTTACATAATAAACAAACTGCCAAAACTTCCATTATGCGGCCGGAGAAAATCCGAGGACTGAAAAAAAGCAAAAATAACAAAAATGTCCTCTCTGAAAATAAGCCTGGCAGAAAACGCGGGCAGCAACAGATACATAAAGTGGTTTTTGGTGCTTGAAAAAACTGATAAAATGCCCTCAAAAAGTATTCATTTTATATGGTCATGATCGTAAAATATACTGGATGGATAAGTTATGGTCAAAACGCTTTGTTATGATAAAGACTAACATTTTTCTTTTTGTAGCCAAAATTTAAAGTAATTTTTGAAAGCCTGTAAACGAGTTGAAAGATTGTTTAAATTGCTCTACTGAAATGATGCAACGGTCTTTCGTCAGTTTACTCAAAACCTCTTCTCTTTCTATAATAATAAAATTTAAACTAGAGTGGAATATTTATGGATATTAAAATGTGCATTACTTGATATGTTTTAAGTTTTTACTTACCAATTGCTAAATAAAAAATTTAATAATTTAGCAGCAAAGAATTTCATAACAAAATTTGACGTTCTGTTTCAAAATTTTTGATTCCTAAATTGAGACCAGCTCATTGCTTTGTGTCCACAACATGCGTAAGAGATAGAAAGAGGGTCATCATCAGGGATATACATATATGTAATATTTTCCAATAAGAACGCAACCTCTTTCTATGGCGGATTTTATTTCCCAGCGGCTGTGGTGCGGCCACAAAATCTGTGCTTGCCGCGGGTGGATTGATTGATGGCTTTTCGCAGCGCAAGCACACATAGTACGGAGGACGGAATATCTTTCGCACATGAGCGAGCGCAAAAAGTGGCTGCTTCACTCGGCTTGGTCACTCACCCATTAGAGCAGGAAAGGTCGTAGTCGTTGATGGGCGACACGGCCCCTTTGGACTGGGCCGCCCTGGCTCTGGTCAGGATGGAGAGAACGGTGCGCTTGGTCGGTGACATGGTGATTCTGGTCCCGCCGGAGAGCAGCGGCCTCTTGCGGCCGATCAACGGCTGACTGCCTCCGGAATTGGCTGCTGCGAACAGGGAAAAGCCGATTTTGTTATAGACTTATCTGATGCGACGTCTCGTGCGTGTCACTGATTTCAAAAGGACATGGGGGATTATTCATTTGAGAAGGTGGTGGTTCATTCACTGACTCTCAAGTACCACTATTGAATTGCAATGATTCCAATGAATGAATCTTTTACAATTTATATGGGAATTTATTGAACAAATTCTTTTTTTAAGATGTAAAAGCTATAAAAAAATCAATTAGCCTTGCATAGATGAAGGGATTGATAAAAATACTTAATTTTCATAATAATAAGGTAAAATGCGCATAATGAAAGTTTTGCTTGGTGAAAATAAATGCAGAACACGGAAGAATTTTTGAAAAAATTTTAATTGATTTTTTGGATGGAAAATTTTTGTATAAATCAATAAAACATGTCATTTCTGATGTGTTGTGTAGCATTAATTTTCAGTCAAATCTTGAAATGAAAGATCTGTAAATAACATGACAGTAATCAGGAGTAGATTACAAAAAATTAATTTTTATTTGAACTAATGAATAAAAAATAAAAAATAAATGTACAGGGTATTAGAATTGTTGCTTAAATTCCTTTTTTCCAAAATACTTCATTTTGATTTGTAATATTTTATATTTAGTCGTATTTAATATTTTATTTTACCATTTTGTTTCAAATGAAATAATTAAATAAACGCTTATTTAAGTTTGTTGAATAATTTTTATTATTCTTTTTTTTTCTTATCATGTTTTTCAGAAAATAAATAGTATAATTATCTTTGTGTTTCAAGAATTTTTTTGTGCCATTGTTCTCTGAAAAAATCTTTTCGATTTATTAATATGATTAATATGATTTTAAACACATTCTAAACGAGTTGTAGCAAATGATTTAGTCCACCCTGAAGGCGAGGTTCATACCATTTTCCAATCGCCATGCAATTTTTTATATTCGTGGTTGACTTTTTGCATATACATCAAAATTTGTATATATCTTAATAACTCTGTTTCAACTGAATGTATGTATTTTATGTATAAATCGGTATAAATATTTTATTTGAATAAATCTATTTTTTTCAGTTGATTTTTCCAGATAATTTTCTTCATAGTATTATTTGATGTCCAAAAGCAAGCACAGAATCAAAATATATAAAATTTCGACATTTATTTTGGGTACGTGCAGAGACAACAAAGAAGGTTGACACGTTTCACCTTTTCCATTACCCTGGTGAATACCGAGAGTCAAAAGCGCGTGCGAAAAAGTTGGAAAACCATATCTGCCCAAGAGACACCCATCAAGAAATAATATCTTTCTGTTTGCCCGCGTGCGTCGTCGGCAGAGCCTTGCTTTCTTTCCTCCTCTTGTTTTCGCCGTTTATTTAAACACTGACAGCCGAGGGGATTTGCATTCCGCAAGCAAACACTAACGCCGTTAGCGGGAAAGCGCGCACGTGCAGTCTTAGTGTTATTATTATCAACGGTCGGACTTTTCTTTTTCCAGCTGCGGTGCCGAGAAAGCAGTCAGAATTTATTCGCCCTTCGCACCACATCCACTAGAGCCGGAAATGGGCTAAAAATGGCGCGGGTCGGTGCGGGGGCGGCTCGGAAAAACGTACGGCCCAGACACTTGCGGAACATGTAATAAGCGTTACATAAAAATTTCCAGGGGGATACGCTTGGCTCATAAAAAGAAAGCGGAAAACCGTAGGAAAAATTCAATTATCTGGAAAAAGTGTTTCCGTGAGAATTCACCTTAAAAGTTTCCGAAACCAAAAGTTTTATTTGTGCAATTTTAAATTACTGTTATTATTATTTTTCTGCAAATTGTTTGAATTACAGATAATTTTAATGTCCAAAAATGTTATTAATAGTTAAATAATGAAGCAATTTGCTGCTTTTGCTACTTTTATAATAATTCAGGTGAAAATTATTTAAAAAAATAATTTTTCATAGAAATATTTCCCTCCTTCCAATGAATCATTCTCTTTAAGCAAAAGTTATAAATGCTCCCATAATTATATTTCCATAGAAATGAGAAATTTATATTTACAAAAGATTTATCAAAATCAACAAATGTGGTGTAAATCCGATGAAAATGCAAAACAATACCTCATCCATGTGAACAATTCACACCATCAACCATCAATAACGAAATCATTTGTTTGATGAGGTTCTACACATCGCTGATTTTCCCTGACCACATCCACCATCCACCCACGAGCTTTAAAAGCGGTGATTCTGCATTTCGCCCGAATAAACCACCATTCCGCACCGGCTGAATCGAAATCGCTGAAATGTTTTGATGCAAAAACATCCCGTGCAAAATAAAATTTGCACAGGCGGCAAAATTGTGGAGCGCGAAAATATAAGATGTGTTGCAACTCGATGAGAGTGTTTTGGGCCCGCTAAGTGAAAATAAATTCCGGTGAGAGGCTCCGCTCGCTGAATAAATTACGCGCACCCCCGCAGATATTTTGCATGCGAATTAGCGGTGCGTGGGGAGGCTCTTTTGCGTGAAGGACGCGCAGCGAGAATCTAATAAAACAGGCTTCACATTGTCGCAGTAGCAGGTTTGTTATTTTATATTTCTTTGGTAACGTTTTTAAATCCTGTAAAACCCTCCAAGCTCCAAATTTCACATGACACCTTTCCGCAATCTGCTTTTACGTTATTGGAGAACTTGAAGTATTTTAAAACAAATAGGAAGAAATTGGTGAAAAAAAAACTATACGTTTACAAAATTCTGTAAGTTAATTTTTACTTAATAGATGTAAAGGTCACAATAATGTGCAATTAAAATATATTTAGATGATTTGAATTTGAATTCGGATTTTTCTGGGTTTTTTGAGTCGTTTATTGTTTAAGAAAACCATAAACAATCCACTAAGCCCTTTGAGGAGAAGACGATTTTAAATTGAAATTACCGTGAATAAACCCAGGGTTGTAGTCCTAAAATTTTCTTAATGGAGACGGTGGTGACGTCACAAATAGAACCCCTGTAAAGTAGGCAACCCCCTATGCACAAGAAAATTGCAGGTTGCCTATATGCAAATATTTTTTCCATACGACCCTCTTGGCCCACAGAAGCGCCCGACCTATCCATTTTTAAGGTGCGTCTTTATTCAGCAGGTAATACCCTGTTGAATTCTTAAAACTGACCACTTAACATTTCGTGGCAAATAATAAGGAAATTCCCCCTAAGAGGATTAACCACCTTTTGTGAAAATGCCAGGGCCAGCCTTCTTGTTTGGCTGTCGCCAGCATCCATTTTTAACAAAAGGATACAAAAGAATTTAATCCTAAACTTCGCCGCAGCCACGCAACAGAAAATAAATATGTTCTTATATGTTCTTTACGAATTTTGTGATCAATTAAACAATTTGAATGTATGAAATTAAAAAATGACTGTCTCCCTCCGTCACCATGGGCTGTTTCTTAATGGAGGCGCGTCACCTAAAAAATTCCTTAATGGAGGCGCCGTTACCCTCCGTCCCCCTAGGACTACAAGCCTGAATAAACCTGGTTTAAATTCTACCACAAATCATTTTTTAATATTTAACATGTTTTATAGTTTGATTTTCAACTCCTTGCAGTTCGACTTCAAAATTAAACTTTAATATTGATGTAATATTGCTACTAAAATCCAAAAGATATGGAATTTAAAAGGACATTAATCAAATCCAGAGCGCAAAAAAGTTTTGTTTGGCAGTGATAATAAAAATGAAACAAACAACCTGTGAACGTGGACCTATGGGGAAGATAAGTAAATTTTTGCCGTCAAACAACGTCCGCCGAGCGATGTGATAAAAATTTGCACAAATATTTGCTTTCGGAGCAAAACACACATGGACGAAATTGGCTCTCACCTGTGACCATGGCGGTGGCCGTCGAGGGCATTGATGGAGGCAAACCGGCCATCAGGGGAGGTTGCTGCGAGCGGACGAGCACGCCCCTGGAAGCGGGGTGCTGCTGGGGGCTGCCCTTTCCCGACGGCGGCGACCCGGAGAGCTGCGGGGGCGGCGGCGAGGGGCTGCCCGAGGAGGCGCTGCTGCTCGCACACTCGGGGCCCTCACACTCGGCCCCCGAGTGGCGCTGCCGGTTTTTTAGCACCTGCATTTCCCACATCTGCTCCTGTCGAATTTCGTCATTGTAGTCCTGCGAAAATTTAAATAGAAAAAAACACGGTTATTGCTTGTGAAATGTATTTCTCTGCGTTTATTCAAGATGAAATTTTCGGAAGTGTTTCCAATTTTGATATTTCTGACTTTCTCTTGTCCTAAAATTCAGATTCATTGCGAAAAATCAACATATTTAAATGCTTACTTTTAATGTAAAAAATATTCATTTTCAAGTGCTGCAATTTCAATTAATCAAATAATTATTTATTTTACACATATGTTTACAACATTCAAAACAATTATTATAAAAAAATTATAATTAAAAAAAAAATGTTTGTTTTGGATTATTCCGACTAACTAAGGCGATTATTTAGTATTTATTTTTATCTTTATTTTTGCTCACCATGAAAAATGGTGCTTCTATAAATGTCAGATTAAAAAATAAAAGTAGGGTAAACCTAAATTTAGTCATAATTCTTAAGAATCAAATTTAAATGTTGTTTTTTTTTTTAAGGATTTATTAGAATTAATGGCTGAATATTCTTAGTTTTTGCAAATAATAAATTTGATAAGTTCGCCTTTTATAGAAATTTGCAACTTATTCCACCAGTAAAAAGAAGAGTACGGCAGATCGATGCACACACGCACTTTTCTCACAGGATCTCTCTCTCTCCCCGACGAGAGCCCTCCATTATGCGTGTGTGGTGCCCCGACCGAGCCCCGGGATGGACGGGTGAGTGGCTGCTGATGGCCACTTTCTCAACAAACATGCATTATGCAAAATCTGCTGATGTCCGCGCCGCACTTTATGGCGTGCGCTTTTGCTTTGTCACTCTCACTCTCCGCCTGTCCTTATTCTATACGACTCTATAAAATGATGAAATAATTTCCTCCCAGAAGAGTCCGCAACCTGACAGATAGGATCGGGAAATGTGGGATTCTTCTAAATAAACTACCACCAAGTTATATCGAGTAAATCTCCTTGGGGACTGCCTGCTCATATAACGCGTGCTATCTGATTTGATGTTTTTATGCAAATGAAGTGTGCCCATATGATGACCTCATAAAAGAGGAATCATTTCCGTTTCATAGCCACATTTTCTAGATTTACTGATAAATCTTTGATGGCCCTCCAAACGAGAGGACCTCTCTCCAATTGCTTTGCGAATGTTATATTGTCTCTTGTCTGCCCCTAAAACTCTTAAGAAATGGTAAGAGAGAAAAAATGAATTGCCTAGGAAAGGAAACTGCGCCGCTGAACATTCCTGCAGTGCCGGTGAGGACGCGGTCATTGAAGTACGATTGAAAAATCCCAAATTAAATTGAAATAGAAGAGAGAATCAGCTTGAGAAAAATTAGCTCTTAAAATCTTAGCTATGTACAATTTCTAGTTTATTTTTAATTGCAGTAAATTCACAATTGAAATAAAATTCAATTTTTTCAACCATACAATTTTATTTTGCTTATAGTCAATTGAATATCTTCAAGTTATTAAGATATTTAATATATTTATTTTATAAAATCACTTAAAGTTAGCAAGTGTTTAAAATTTGTTGCAAATTAAATTTTATCTTAAGTGAAAATTAAAACTTTAATTTCATTTCCCGAACCGTCAAAGTTATACAAATATCATTGATGATTCTTCATCGGAGGATATCGAATGCTCATTTCAAAATAAAAAACTTATTAAACAGCTTTTCAACAGACTTAATAAAGATAATAAAATAAACAATAATTTTTTTTTAATTAATTGTACAGAAAATGTTAAGTTTCCATTTCTAGACACAATATTATGTGTTACTGGCGGAACGGTATGGTGTGGCTGTATAGAGTGAGAGCAAAGAGCTGATATACAAAGCCCGTGTGTGTGCTTTTCCTCCTTTCCTCGCCGCCGATCTATAATAGAAAGCCGCCGACGTCTTCGTGGGTGTGTTTTCACGCGCACTCTCGTAGCATCTCCTGTGCCAAACAACTTTTCCGATCGCTCCCTTTCGGAAGATTTATATTCGCCGCCGCCACCGCCCAGCCCACGAATTATTATCGCTGGGTTGCGTGGGCGAGGGCTTAAACTCGGCGCGCCCATTGTAATTAATATTTTAAATTTTAAAGAGGATTATGCGCACGAATGTCGGGGTTGAGTAAGACTTAACTCGGCAGCGCCCAAAGAAGGAAAGGCAGGGAAAGAGGAAATAAGATTTGAGCTCCTTCTTTTCTTTTGAATTATGAGCTTGAACTACCTCGAGAAGCGATAATTATTGTTCGGAGCTGTTGCGCTAACTTGCAAGCTCGGTTCTTTAAATAATTTATTTTATGAATAGGAGTCGGAGACGAAAAAGAGACGCGAGTCATTTTGCAGAAAACAAGTTTGTCGGGCTCAGAAAATCGTCTTGCAACTTGTGCAAGGCTAGCTTGAATTGCTTGACAATTTTTTTGTAATTTCCCTACTGCGGTACTGCGTCGTTTAGAAACACACTTTCGCTATAGAACTTCTAAAATATACTTTTTCTTTGCTCTTTAACCGATTGCGATTTCATTGTGTATGCTTACTTATGTTTTCATAGCAATCAATAGCAATGAGATAAAAGGAATAAAAAAAGCTTTGATGAACAATCTATGTTATTAAAAATGAAGCTCGTCTGCGCGCAATCAAATAACCAATTAAAAAATTTGCGAGAAGAATACTTACAAAGCCAAATAATGGAACTGCTTGTTTTGGTTAACAAATTTCAATTCTCAGATTTAATTTTACTGTAAGTTAAGTAATTATTATTTTTTATTTTTTATTACGTAATAATATACTGATTTTTTTTTCAAGTAAATAATATCTTATTGAAATATTACAAATTATTTATGTTTATTTGAGAACTAAAGAAACTTTTTAGTAAAATAAAATCACGTTCAGCAAAATGTGTAAGTCTTTAAAGTGGAAATACATGTTTCTTTGATAAGAGTATAATTTTAGATTGAAATTGACAAATTCATTAAAAATGGATTGATGATTACCAAAAATTTACTCGCGTGCGAATTTAAAAAAAATCGAAATCTTTAAAAACTTAAAAAAATTTCAGGGTTGGTTGATATTCATGCAAATTTAGCACAGTCTGGTAAAACTTTTGCCTCACCTGGCCAAATGGCTGCATATAAAATGCGAGAACACACGAGAGACTCCATTTTTATCACGATTAAAGAGCACTCAGCACCGAGTCTTTCAGACGAACTGACTCTGCCAGCGGTGAATTTGTACCCACAAACCACGGGTACGAGAAGTGGGTGGAAAAATCAGCAGAGCAGGAACGACCGCCAGGCTCACTTTTTGCAGGTGTGCTGAAGAATCTGATTCCCACACCTCCATGACGCCCCGCGTTGACGTACACGTGAACGTGATAATGGCGCAATAATTTGATTCGGATGTGCGGAGAGCGTTGCTCACCTCTTTTCACTCTGCCTTGAGGACATATTCGCACACGCGGCTTCCTCATTACGTATTCAAATGCACTCGGATCGGTCACACAAAGAGAGAGCCAGACGGAAAAAAGGAGCAGCGCGTGGATAAAAAAGTTTTGATGAGATGTTGAAAGGTATCGTAACTTTTTTACTCCGGCGTGCTAAAAGCGATGAGTGCGGCATACCAAGATGGGTTCTCGTGACATTGTGCTGAACGCATGTCATCAGGAAATGTGGGCGGATCTCTCTCGGCGCCCCACATACAGAGAGTTCACTCGTCGGCAACAAAAAGTAGTATAAAGATTGAATTTCCTGCGAAGAAGTTTCGGCGTTATTTTCCTGCCGGTGTGTGACTTATTTATGGCGCTAGTTACGCACCGGTTCTTCTCTCTCTCATCTGCCAGACAATGGGGACCGGTAAAAAGCAGTTGGCGAAAAAGTAGCAGATGCTGCTGCTAGAACTAGAAAACGAGAGAGGCCCCCAAACAAATTGACGGAATTGTGCACTAAATCGCGGGAATTTCCTTCGTACCCCTGTTTACTAAAGTTGGGCTGCTCTCGTCGGCACTCGCGACTAGTGTGAGAGGGCAAATTGAACGTTTATCACGAGTGAAAGTCGGAAGAGCCCATTTAACTTGCTCGTAGTAAGTGCTGCATTTGCAGTGCACGTGACCTGACAAGCTCAATTACTGCCATAATTTGCACTTGTGATATTAGCCTCATTTGTTATTAGGACCGTTACATTTAACTAGAAAATTGCACACAAAAAATATTTTAAATTATTCATCCTCTTATTTTTTTTATTAAAAAGCATTTTATTTCATACTCTTTCATCTGCTTAAAAAAATGGCTTAATACGGTTAAAATACCTTCAGGACGCCTCCTATTTCTGAATTCAGGACAAAATTATTTTTACAGGCAAAATCAATGCAATGGTAAATTAAAATTATCAAATATTATTGCTTAGATTCAATGATGTTTAAAAAAATTCATGTAGCAATTTCATTTATCAAATTAATCATGATCACCCCAGCCTGGTAACTAAATGTACAATGAAATTATTTGTTGATTAATACGTGGTTTTTAATTCAAATTAGGCAAATTAATACCATGACAATGTAATCATTTTCACAAGATATTATTAATATACATATTAAAAATTGAACTGAATCGATTTTTTTTTTATTATACTTCATTTGAATGTGATCTTAATTTCAATTATTAATTTAATGTCAAATGAGTTCAATTTAATAGGCCTTCTGTTGGTATCTTACTTGCCGATTCATTTCAAAGAAATTTCCAAATAGACGGAGCAATCAATAGCAATTCTTTTCCTGGCAGTCAAGGCTAGTGCGTGGCTGACACTGCTGTTTCCAAAAACCAATCATTCGAGAAAGTAACGCCACGTGCCTTAATTGCCACAACTCGTTTAACGACACGGTCACTCTCTCAATAAAAAGGCTGCGGCAGTTTCGTCGGCCAACGATATTACGTCTCTCTCCGCCGGTGGTGGACGGAATATGTCAGTGTGAAGGGATGGCGACGATAAAGCAGAAAAATGTCTTCACATTAATGTCCAGTTTATAGTTTTTG